AGTCCCTAGTGGAATGGATTAATATTTACGGGCCAAATTGTGTTCTGGGCTGAACATAAGAATTTGGGCCTGTAGGGAGCCCAAACCCTATACCTTATAAGAGATCCCTAGGCTGGCCCAAGGACCTCTATAAAAAGAGGGGACTTCCCACGTTCTAAACCCTAAGAGACTTTCGTGAGACACTCCAGCCACCATCGTGGAAAGAGTAACGAGAAGGGTTCGAGAAAGACGTGGGCAGTTCTCTTCTTTCAACCGTTTGGAGGATCGTCGTCCATCCGGCGTCCAAACGCGGTCAGGACACAGTTTAGAAGATCGCTCAGATCGAATCAAAGCCTTGAAGAAAGGTATATCTCTGTTCACGTTTTAGGAGCATGCTTAGGTTTAATCGAAATCATGTATGTACATGTTTTGGTATCCGATATCGATCCGTGGGAAGGACCGCCTCGTCGGCATGTTCCAGCAGCTGCAACAGATTATTCCAAGATACTGGAGCTAAGTCCCAAACTCTACTTGCCTTGGAGCAATGAAAGAGAACATGTTCAATGGTTTCAGCCTTTGCACACTACATCAATGTCTAAGCCTTTCTTCCATAATTTGGTTTTCACAGGAAGAGTGCCATTTAAGCACTTTTAAATGAAATGCTTAAGTTTACCAGCAACTTTTAATTGCCAGCATCTGGAGAGACCAGCAGAGATACCTGGTGAAGAACTGCTGCAAGGGATGTCTAAGGCCAGCAACTTCTGCTCTGTGAGAAAGGCATAAGTGCTTGCTACAGAAAATAGGCCTTTCTTATCTAACTTCCAATACTTCCTGTCAGGGTGGTCTGGGTTGAGAGTTTTGATGGAAAGGATAGCAGAGCTGTCTCCTGGATCAAAAACTTGGTTGACTAGCCATGAATTCCATTCTGTGCCACCATCATCAAAAATATCTTTGACCCAAATCAAATGATCTCTAGCCAGCTCCATCATATCTGGTTTGGGTTTGGGCAGTTTGGGCACCCAATTCACATCAGCAATTCTTGTAGATTCTCCATTTCTGATATCCACAGCAAACCCTTTAGCAAAGATAGGAATCAAGCTAATTAGACCATAAGCAAGAACTGTTATGTGGTTTTTTGGCTTCAAAAATAGAACAACGTGGGTAGTATCTGTCCTTAAGGATCCTGCTTACTAATAAGTCAGGATTTGCTGTGATCCTCCAAAGCTGCTTGCATATGAGTGCAGTGTTGAAAAGTTTGATGTCCAGAAAGCCTAAGCCTCCTTTGTCCCTAGGCAGAGACATGGATGCCCAAGATTTCCAGTGTATACCCTGAGAACTTCCCTCTCTATTTTTCCACCAAAAGTGAGAGCACAGTTTGGATATTTGAGCACAGACTGAGGCAGGCAGTCTAAAACAAGACATGGAAAACACAGGTAAAGCTTGGATGACAGATTTTATAAGTGTTTCCTTACCAGCTGGAGATAGGAATTTAGTTTTCCAGTTCTCAATTCTAGATTTCACAGTGTCAAGAACAAAGTTAAAAGCTTCAGATTTGGATCTACCAATGCCCAAAGGCAGACCCAAATACCTGGTAGACCTGTGTGAAGTGATTCCCTGCAGTGTGGAGCGAATACTGTTTTGAAGGAACTGAGGAGTGTTCCTACTAAAGAAGATGGCTGACTTTTGCAAGTTAACCTTTTGTCCAGAGAAAAGCCTGTATCTGTCTAGAATAGAAAGAAGGGTTGCAGCCTGATCAACACTAGCCTTGCAAAAAAATATAGAGTCATCTGCAAAGAGCAGATGTGAGAGAGGTGGACCATTTTTGGAAAGTTTAAGACCCTGCAAGTGACCAACATCTGAAGAAGCACACACAAGAGAAGATAGTAACTCAACAATTATGATGAAGAGATAGGGGGATAGAGGGTCCACCTACCTAATTCCTCTTGAAGGAAGCACATAACCACTAACAGCACCATTGACCTTGAAAGAGTATGTATAAGAGGACACACAAATTATGATGAGATGAACAAATTTCTGATCAAAACCCATTTTGAGCATTGTCTTCTTAATACATAACCACTCAACACGGTCAAATGCTTTCATTAAGTCTAATTTCAAAGCCATGAAGAAGTTCTTCCCAGAGGAATGTCTATTAAGGAAGTGGAAGGCTTCTTGTGTTATTATCACATTATCCAGCAGTTGTCATCCCTCAATAAAAGCAGATTGGCAATCACTAGCACATGCATGAAGACAGATTTTGAGTCTCAAAGCAAGGATCTTGGATAAGATTTTGTAAACAACTGTGCATAAACTTATTGGCCTAAACTGACAGAGGGAATCAGGATTCAGAGTTTTCGGAATAAAAGAGATGATGGTGTGGTTTCAATATTTGAGAAGTATTCCATTATCAAAGAAACTAGACAAAGCAGCACAGAGATCAAGTTTAACCACATGCCAAAACTTTTGAAAGAACAGGGCAGACATATCATCTTCCCCTGGTGTTTTATCAGGGCTGAGACTGAATAGAGCTTCTTTTATTTCATCTTCCAGAACTGGTCTGAGCAGAGTCTGATTCATGTTGGAGGTGATAGATTGTGGTATGTGTTGAAGTATAGATCACCTCCCCAAGTGCCTTCTGAAGAGAAGAGTGACGAGTAGAAATCTGCAATGTGGTCCTAAATTTCTTTCTGAAAGGAGCATTCTCTGTTCTGTTCAGTGATCAATCTACAAATTGCATTCTGTCTCCTTCTTATCATAACATATGCGTGGAAGAATTTTGTGTTGCCATCACCTGCCTTTAACCACTGGAGTTTTGCCTTTTGTTGCCAGAAAGATTCTTCTACATGGGGAGCTTTATCAAGATCAGATTTGGTAGCTACCCTTGCATCCCAATTGTCTGCCATGTTGCTGTCTCTAAGAGCTTCAAGTTTGGCTGTTAAGTGCTCGATATTTGATTGGTTTTGAGTTTTAAATTTTGAGCTCCAAATGATGAGGGCTTCTCTGGTGCACTTGATTTTCTCTTTTAGTTGGAAAAAGGGGGTGCTGGATTGCACTGTGTTCCAAGCTGTGGCAACAATCTCTGCAATACCTGGCTTTTGAAGCCATCTTTTATCAAAATGGAATCTATGCTTTATACTTTCCTTTAGCTGTCTAGAGTCCAGTAGCAGCATGGAATGGTCAGAAGAACTTTTTATCAGATTGGATATATAGGCATAGGGAAAAGCTGTAAACCACTCCACAGAGCCAAAACCTCTATCCAGTTTTTCTTCAATGAGGTTTCTAGTTGATCTGTTGTTACACCAGGTGTACTGATAGCCAATCATTGTGATTTCCTCCATGGACATATTATTAATAAAGTCATTGAAACCAGCTAAGCTCTTAGCAGTTCTGACAGATCCTCCAATCCTGTCTTCATTTGTATAGATGTCACTCCAATCTCCCATGATAAACCATTTGTCACCCCATTGGATTTTATTAGCTTCAAGTTTTCTCCACTGCTCTGTTCTAGTTTGAGTACATGTTCTGATATAAACAAAGATACCCCAGTAGGAGGTGCTATTTGGAAGGGAGAACTCAACTGCAATATAAAAATTAGTGGAGAAACTTTGCAAAATATGAACATCAGAATTCCACATAAGCAACAGGCCACCTCCTATGCCTATTGGATCAACTAGAAGGGATCTACCCTCAAAACCTAACTTCTTCACAACAGTTTTGACAAAAGTAGATGGTTTTTTTGTTTCAGACAAAAAAAGAAAAGATGGGTGGTGAGCTCTTACTGTCTCTCTGATTTGGGAAACTGTAGAGGGACCCAGCCCTCTACAGTTCCACACCGCAACTAGCATTGGCCACTTGGGCGCCACTCGAGGCTGGCCACCCTCAGCTTTTCGGAAGAAATTTTGAGTTTCTTGCTATCAACTAGGACAATGGATTTTCCTTTGGTGTCACTGATAACCTCTTCCTTGTCGGGATGTGGTCTCTTCCCTGAGGTTGGAGGTTCCTGAATAACCAAATTAGTGCACTGTCTTTGGAGCCTACCCTCCTTGTTGCCTGTTCTTTTCCAAGTTCTGGTCAAAGGCTTCTGAGGCATAAGAATATCTTTGGTCTCCAGAATATGAGGAAGGGATGAGAGCATGTTGAGTGAGATATTTGCAACCTCTTGAGTAGAGGCAAGGATAGTACCATGATCTATAATGGAGTTTGAAACCTTTATTGGAATATCATTCCCTATTGTGGATTCACCATTGATATCTGCTGGAGTGGAGGAGAAGTTTGATGGAGGATCGTTAGTTTGATGAGAATGACTAGATTTTAGTTACTATTATTTATATATATATAATAATTATTTTTGTAGAGTTACACATCTTCATCTTAATTATTTATATACATATATGTATGTATATATTCGAATAGATGATTATAGTTTTATCACCTCCAATCCAATGGTATTATTAGTTTTGTCTATTACATTACTTTGTAAATATTCAACACATTATTTGTTAATTAAAGTCAATTAGATATCTTCGGAAGTAGATACAAGAATTATTAAGTATTCAATAATAATAATAGTTAGTAAGATAATCTAGGATGTTTTACAAAAATTTAATCCAATAGGTGAAATAGAGATATATATTTTATTTTTACTATTATTATTTAATAATTATACTGAGTATTAAGCTAGCAATTAAATACATCTTGCCTTGAGTTATTATAAAATATATATATATATATATATAAATAATCATGAAGAAATATATTCACGTATCCTCTAATGCTTAAGCTAAATTACTTTTATATATATATATATATAATAAGTGTGGCATGAAGAAATAAAAATAATTTTATATATTCATGTTAAGAAATTTTGTTACATGAAGACCAACATATACATATATCTCACAACAAATTTGTAGATCTTTTATGTTATTTGACTAATAAATTCATTATCCACATGTATATTTTCAACGCGGGTTTATTTATACATAACGGATTCGACTGACTTCGAATTGGATTCTAATAGCTCATCATCAAGCGACGATGCGTTTTCGCTAACCAAGCAACTAATAGAAAAGCCGTTAGGAGATGATACATTTTTTGAGGAATTGAACTGCGAGGTTATACAAACTTGTTTGTTTCACATTCCTGTGATAATTTCTTCATTTTTAACAAGCACCTCACGCCCTCATGGTGGAACGACTAATAGTAGACGCTACATTTGTCGAGATAGGGAAGGACGTCATGAATTAATTATTAATTACTATTTCAAAGGCGATGACTCAAAGTACACACCCGAACATTTTCTTCGTCGATTTCGGATGGATATAGAATTATTCAAACGCATTTTACAAGCAATTGAAAATTACAATGACTATTTTACGCAAAAAGTTGATGCAGTGAGGAAAAAAGGGCTAAGTCCTCTACAAAAAATGGTCGTGGCATTACGCATGTTGGCGTATGGTTGTGCAGCTGATCTCCTTGATGAATATGTGCAAATTGGAGAAAGCACGACAATTGAGAGTTTAAAACATTTTTGTGATGCTATAATTGGAGTTTTTGAAAAACAATATCTGAGAAGGCCAAATAAGTATGACATTGCTAACTTATTAAAAGAAGGCGAGGCTAGGGGATTTCCAGGTATGCTTGGCAGTTTAGATTATATGCATTGGCATTGGAAAAATTGTCCAACTGCATGGCACGGTACTCACACAAATGGTTTTAAGAGAGTTCCAACCTTTATTTTAGAGATTGTTTCTTCGAAAAGTTTATGGATATGGCATTCATTTTTTTGCATGGCTGGTACAAACAACGATTTAAATGCCTTAGATAGATCTCCATTATTTGATGATATCATTAATCAAATTGCACCACCATGAGACTTTGTAGTACAGGGCAACCGCTATAACATGGGATATTATTTATCTGATGGTATTTATCCCCAATATGCCACTTTGATCCAGACAATAGCCCATCCGTCATCTATGAAGAAAAAAATATTTGCAAAGTATCAAGAAGCTGTGCGAAAGGATGTAGAACGAGCATTTGGAGTCTTACAAAGTCGATGAAATATAATTAAAGATCCAGCACGTATGTGGAATGCCAAATAATTGGAAAAAATAATGAAGACTTGTATCATTTTGCATAACATGATTATTGATTCTGAACATGACCAAGGCATTAATCCTGAAAGTTGGCAACCTCATGGAGATGATGGAGTTTAGAATGTTATCCCCGAGCATGATTTCACCTTTCTTTTATCGCGGATGAATACTAGAATAAAACAAGTTCAAGACAAAAAGGTGCATAAAAACTTGAAGAAAGATCTTATTGATCACTTGTGGGAGCTACATGGTAGCCATCAAATAGATTGATAGTTTATTTATGAGATTTCAGCTTTTAAGTTGTTACTTTGTCAACTATTTCGAATGTTTATGAGTTTGTTAGTAACTTTACCCTTAATTTTATATTTGTGTTTTCAAACCGTGTCATGTTGACAAAAAAAATGTCTATGTTTAACCATCATTTTTAAAGAATAAACTGATTTTATCGGTTGCAAACTATAAGATATATGATATACCATTGCAAAGCCAAAATAGTATAGTTTTCAACAAAAAAAACGAAAGTAAAAAATATTAAGTATAGAAAAAGTTATAATTGTGTTTCCAAACCGTGTCATGTTCACACACAAAATGTTCGTGTACAACTGTAAGTTTTATATAATAAACTGATTTTGTTGATAGTGAATTAAGAGATATATAATATACCATTGAAAGCCAAAAGAGTCTAGTTTCCAACTAAAAAAACGGCAGTAAAAAATATTAAGTATAGAGAGAGTTATGGTAGATTGAATAAAACATGACAATATTTTACTAGTTGCTGAAATTTGACCCCATAATGCATTTCTTATGATAAATAACAATTCAGTTCATGCTGTTGGATCAAGATAAGCTTTACGTCAACAGATCACTAGGTAAATTTTGAAGTTCTTGCAAGTTATATTTATTGTGATTTTAAACTATGATTGTTATGTCATGGTGAATATGCAGAAATTTTATAGTCAATAATTGTCTAATATCTAACGTGGGATTGGAACAACTCAAACAGGTCCCTAATGAAGCAGTAACAAAGTGCATAGCTTGTGGAACAGACTTTGGTGCTTTTCGCGGAGAGTATGTCTTATTAATTTTTTCTCCTTTGCTTCCTTAACTTGGAATGAATTTCTTGCTTTTAGCTATGTTTTGCACATACAGACTTGGCATGGTTTCATATAATGATGGAATCTGTTTTCAGCACAGAAAAACAACAAAAAAAATGTGTACTGCTCACTTGAAAATTTGTAGCTGTCGAAGAACTAACTATTAAGTAGGAAATTTCAAATATATTTCCACATGGATATTTTTTGTTCCCTAATAAATAATAATTGCTTGGAACTAAATTAACAACCACTCAATTCAACCAAAATCAAACAGAAACATATCTATCATCCCCAAATGAGTAATAAACAAACCAAAGAAAAGCAGAAGAAAGAACATTTATAACAAGTACTTCAAGGCCCCAATTCATATGAGTTGATCTAAACTTAGTAGACTACAAGGTTATAAACAAAAGTCATCCCAAACTCCAAGTGATATGCTCATCATATGTCCTGAAAATGTTTTATAAACAAAAATCAATGCATTAGTATATATATTTACACGACACTAAATAAAGTCAAGCCAAATAATAAAGCATACTATATTAGACCCATGAGGAAATTCATTCTCCAAATCTTTCAAGATCTCTGTCTTCTTAAGCTCGTAATATGCTCGATGAGTTGGTGAAAATTTTCTAAGATCTTGATTCATATACCGATCTTGCTCTTGTCTTCTTTGTTCCCTCATCTTCATCCTCTACATTTCCTCCTTCATTCTTTGAGCTTTCACTTTAAGTTCAAGCTCTTTTCTCATTACTTCCTTCCGCAATTTCAACTTTTTCTTCATTTTCTCGTTTCATCTCCAAGTTTACTTGATTGACAGTGATCTGTTTCTCTAAAGTGCATTGCAACTTGTTTAAAGCATCCACAACACTCTTTTCCTCATTTAGCTTTCTTTTTTTCTTTGCATTTTTTCCTTCCTTCCGGCCGCACAGTACCATCAATGTTGGTACATATAGGTACATCACCATCACCATCCCCATTGGTTTCCATAACTTCACCTGCATTGTACTCATCTTGTGCTCAACCCCTTGTTTCGTTGATGTTGCAGCCTTTGTAAGTTCTTTAGAGCACCACGTGGGATTTTTAATCAAAATTTTCCAACAATCAATAAATTTGAAAGGAGTGTCGTGCAAATCCTCATACGACCTCATAGAAGTTATTATCTGCATAAAAAAAATAAACAACAAATAAAAAACATTGTATATTTAGTTTCTTCAACATTCATTCAAGTTTAAGCGAACAACTTGTAACTAAAAAGAAATAAAACAAAGCCTTAAACCTATAGCACCCTTCATTTTTATTAATTATAGAAGATTGAAATTTAGGAAAGCATAATACTCTTACCAAATCCTCCGAGTTTGTACCTCTTTGTGGATGTCTTTCTAAACGCTCATACAAAGAATGAAATTTGCTTACTGCACCATGTATCTTGGACCATTTGAGTTGTAGGCTATTGTTATTTCTAGCAAAATTGCATTCAGCCCCCATGCTCTCTCTCCACACCTCCAAAATACGATCCCAGATAGCTGCTCCCATTTGATTGGTACCAATACCAGCATCCTCAGAAATATATAACCATGCTTTTGTTAAAGCAATTTCTTCCTCTTTGGTCCAATCTTTTTTTGCAAGTGAAGCTTGGGAGCTGTTAGAATTTTTCGTATTTTTAGCCTTTTTTTCGGTTCCCTCACTGCAACTTCACCTTCAGAATTACCAATTGGAGAGTTTAAAAGATTTTGAAAGGAGAATCCAGGTGTATGTTGTGGGTTAACAGAAATATATGTTCCTGTTGTTGGATCAAAGTGATAAAGAGGCTGCATTTGAATGTTTAGTGGGTTGAATTGGTTTGCAATTTGTGTTGGCCTAGAAAAATTTAGAGTTGGTTGGGAACTTGAATAATTTTCAGAGTTATGAGATTCCATTCTCATACAAGTCTAAAAAAAAAGAAAAAAAAAAAGGATATACAATGAGCAGGTACAAGAATCATAATATAATAAATCACAATAAGTTTGGTTCTGGACAAAATAGAGATTTGTGTATAAAATGTAAAAACACATAGTTTAAATGAGGACAATGAGAATGTATTGTACAACAAAAGCAATCATGTTGTTGTACACTGAATATTTTGAATCCATAAAATTATTAAATATACTCTCTGGCAGTAGCACAGAATTGACCACAAAGCAAAGAAATATAAAGTGTAACTAGACTGGACATTACCACTGAAACAAGATATTAATTTACTTAAGCAAGCATACTAACTTAAGTAGATAAGCTTCACCATAAAAAAAGTTAATTTTCTCTTCAACACAAAAAGCCTCACCCTTTTTGTTTCATCACCATTCTAACTAAACTATCCCAATTCAAATATCAGTCAACCAATACGTTATAAGCCCATAAAAATCAAATATTGTTTCAAATTACAGTCAACCATTACCTTAGGAGACAATTTGCTGCATTAAGAGTCATAGTTACACCTACAGGAAATGACTAGCAATGCTTGAACAAAGACAATGGGGCATCACATTGAAACAAACTGCCTATATATACCGAAAACACAAGCAAATATCACAAGCCAAGTTCCTTAACAAATAATCCCAGAATGACTGTTATGTTAGAGTTGCACCAAAGAAAAAGGAAAAATATAAAAAGAGTAAGATGAAGGAACAAAGGAAAAAAAAAATAAAAATAAAAAATCCCCCAACAAGGACTTAGAAAAACACACGGCCATTTAACATCACATTTCTAAGATATATACATATATATTTTATATAGAAAGTACCAAGAATTGAGGCTGAAAAATATACCAATTTGATAAGCCATAAACCACTCATATCAAAGGCTAAATAAAATCAATAGAGGCTGCTCACAATTAGAATCCCCAGGCCAAAACAACAAGGAAATTGAAACGATTATTCCTAAATATCAAAAGCAATAAACGAGGCTCAAACACATGATTCAAACAGTGAAACCTCAACGAAAGGCTCGATATCTCACGATTCAAATAAAACAACACCAACAAGAGTCAGTATATTTTTTTTTTAACAAACACGGGAGAGTTCCAATTCCACGTTTCATTCCACTAAGGCACGACCGATAAGAACCGAAACTATTCGAACTATAATTAACAGTTTTCGATCCATCTAATACGAATTAAATCACAGTTTCAACACGAGCATAAGATAAGGTGGTTCAAACGATTAATACCTTCCTCCGGAAATCTACACGTTCGGTTGAAAAATTGGACGAACGAACGAAGGACGGATCAAAAACTCGAGAGCCCGAAACTCCTCGAGAGGTGCTGCTCGCGAACAAGACAGCGATGTCGGTGAACGGGGTTGCCGCTATTCTTTAGCAACAAACAGCCAACGGGAATAACTAGATGAAATTTCAACTTTTTAATAGAGGAAGTTCACGGATTAGGAGAAAAATTAAATAGATTTCAAATAGTAACAATCAAAACCAAAGGGGATTTAACAAAATCGGAGCTAAAAGTAAAAAATTTGTTCATTTTGAAGAAAGGTGTCATAGGAGTTAGAGATTTACTATTCAGGATTCATGGTTGATGCGTAATTCGATGACGAAGAAGAAAATCTTACCCGTCTCTAACACTGCCGCCTCCAGTTATGATGAAGAAAGAACAATAAGATTTGAAGTTTGGTAGGGTTGATTGATCTGAATATCTTCAAGACCTCTATTGATTGCCCGCCATATTTTCCCACGAGTTCTGAAATTTTTTTCGTTTTTCTACACTTTCCCCAACCTTTTTCCCACGTTTCTACAGATTTTGGGACGTTTTTTTCTGAGTCATACTGTCAAAGAGACTGTTTGGTTTCAAACAGTGGGCTTCACTACTTTTAAGCCACATCAGATAAAATTAGACCAAGACAGAACCCATTAGAGAGAAAAAAATAATGACGGTGTTATGTGGCACATATTTTTTGGACTCAACAGTCCGCACTGAAATTGCTCTTAGTCGGCTTCATAGCCGTTTTGAAAAATTCGGTTTTCCAAGCAATCATAGTAAAGTCAATGCATAAACATAAGAAACATAATTGAAACATAAACTTGTGATTCATTTCATCATTGAACTTGATTTGAACATTGTTCAGTACAAAAGAGAAATCGAAATATTGCCTTAAGCACAGAAGCGTTTGAGATGAATTACGTGCCAAGATCGCGGCAGTTGTCGACCTTCTCCGTCCTCGAGTTCATATGCATCTCTTTCAAGCACCCTTGTGATAGTGTAGGGTCCTTCCCAATTAGCCTCAAGTTTCCCGACATGCTTGAGAGCGTCGGCTCGTTTGAGGACGAGATCTCCAACTTGAAAACGTCTGGTTCGGACCTTCTTGTCGAATGCTACGCGCATCTTTTGTTTGTACTCGATGGATCGCACCCAAGCTTCCTCTCGTCCTTCTTCAATTAGGTCGAGGGCCTCCTCGATCATCTCCTCATTTTTCTTTTCTTCATAGAACATCGACTCGTGGGAGTCCAAGCCGACTTCTACTGGCAGAAGTGCATCCATTCCATATACCATGTGAAACGGAGATTGTTCTATCGAGCTTCTCGGAGTCGTCCTATAAGCCCATAGGACTGTCGTCAACTCGTCGACCCAGGCTCCCGACGCTTTCTCCAATCTTTTCTTCAACCCTTGGAGAATAGTTTGATTGGTTACCTCGACTTGCCCGTTCGCTTGTGGGTGTGCGACTAAAGCGAATCGTTGTTTAACTCCCATGCCGAGGCACCAAGCTTGGATCTGCTTCCCTTGGAATTGAGTTCCGTTATCCGAGATCAGCACTTTTGGAATTCCGAATCGACAGTAGATGTTGTTGAATAGGAACTGGATCATTTTTTCCTCGGTGATTCGGGCTAAGGGCTCTGCTTTGACCCACTTGCTGAAGTAGTCGACTGCGACCACTAAGAACTTCCTCTGTCCCGTTCCCATCGGCAACGGGACTACCAAGTCGATTCCCCATTGAGCAAAGGGGATTGGAGAGTTAATTGTTGTCATATATTCGGCTGGGATGTGTGTGATCTGCCCATGTCGTTGGCATTTTTCGCACTTCTGGACTAGCTGTTCTGCCATTGCTCGAATCTTGGACCAATAGTAGCCTGCTCGCAAGGTTTTTCCAGTTAAGGCTCGAGACCCGACGTGTGCTCCGCAACATCCTTCATGGAATTCTCTCAGGATATGAATTCCTTCTTCCTCGGAAACACATCGCAGGTAGGGCCCAACCAGCGACTTTTTATACAGGATCCCATCGACTTCAAAATATTTGCTTAAATATCGAGCAACTTTCTCTGCCTCCTGTTTATCTCCTGCAGGTACTCGACCCTGCAAGAGTTCGCGAATCGACTTTCTCCAATCGTCCTTCTCGTCGACTTCCATCGTTTCGCACAGAACACTTCCTTCTAAGTGCATGGCGGTAATATGGCCCCCTACCTTCCCCTCATTGGAACTTGCGATCCTTGCGAGCCAGTCGGCTCGCTTGTTCTCCTCTCATGGGACTTGTGTTAACTCAAATTTATCCAGACCTTGTATGAGGCTTTGAATCTCCTCGACATATTTCAGCATTCTATCCTCCTTTATCTCGCAATTCCCCAACACCTGTCCCCACGACGAGTTGTGAGTCAGAGTGCGCTACGATTTATGTTGCTCCACCACCAATTCCGAGTTGAATCCCTTTGATTAGC